GTGGATCGGTGAAACACATTTTGGTGATGAGTTTAGTCGCCTTCATGGACTCTCGTTAAACAAAAATGACTCGGTGGAAGAAATGTATAGGGGTGGTTCAAAGTGGTGGTGGAGTTTGAGGCGCCCACTTTTTGCATGGGAAGAGGAAAAGTTGGTTGAGTTAGCTAATAGGTTGGCCTCGGTAGTTTTGACAGAGGCTCACCCAGATGAATGGCGTTGGTTAACTAAAAGGTCAGGGAAATATTCGGTGGCATCTGCTTATAAGATTTTAGCAAAGTCAAACCATGTTCAAGTGGACACTTTTTATGATACGATATGGTCCAAGGGTATCCCTCCTAAGGTACAAGTTTTAGTGTGGCAGTTGGAAGGAGACAGGTTACCTACCCGGGATAACCTCTTTTTGAGAGGGGTTAATCTGGAAGGACATAATGGTTGTGTTTTTTGCAAAGAGGGCTTGGAGTCCAGCAAGCATTTGTTCCTCTTGTGTCCAAAGGCTTATGTTGTTTAGGTCAGATTATACGCTTGGTGGGGAGTGTCAGGGGTGCTTATCAATGAACTTAGGGGTTTTTGTCATCAATATATGGGATTGGTGAGTGGCAGTAAGGGTATTAAGCAAGTTTGGTCCTTTGTTTGGTTTGCAGGTATATGGCAGTTATGGAAGGCTCAAAATGAGAACATTTTCAAAGGCAAACTCTTTAAGGTGGAAGAGATCGTGTTCATGGCTCAGTTAAGATCGTGGGAGTGGTGTACGGCTGCTAGAAGGATGTCTTCTTCTTTTCCAGAATGGTTGATGAATCCTTTGTCCTGTGCAAGTGTCCCTTAAGTTTATTTTTTCTTATTTTCGGGTCATCTTGTTTTTAATTATGACTTGCACTTCTTGTGCACAATTTTCTTGGGATTAATAAATTCTTGGCTTATCAAAAAAAATATATTACTTATTTTGGGATAAGGGCTTATTTAAAAGACTATCGCTCTGTCTTGATATGCTCCCGATGTCAATTTCTTTTTGATGATTACAAAGGGGGAGAAATAGAAAAGGATTAATTAATCAAATATGTTATCTAAATCAAAACGAAAACCCAGTAAGGGGGAGAGCATATACTAAGGGGGAGAAATACAATGAACTTGCTATAACACACAGAAATACCTCTGATTTAGTTTATTTGAAACCATTTGATCAATTATATTTGTCATCATCAAAAAGGGGGAGATTATTAAGTCAGACGAAGCATTCTCCAATAAGGTTTTGAATGAGACAAATATAATGCATATTGTTATCTCTAACAAATGTGTTAGTGTTTCAAATATAAGTATAGGCAAGTTGAAGAATAAAAAATATGCATGCACCATCCCCACACCAGAACCAAAACAAATGGTAAAAGCTACAAGGCATAATATAAAGAGATTAAATAAGGTCGAGCCCAGCACAAGAAGGAAAATGATCAAGCCTCGGATGGTCAAAAATCAGACGTTGGACAAGGAAGAGACAAAGAAATGTTTTAGACATAGAATCAAGTTTCAGATGAAGAGCATAGAAAACCAAGAATGCCGAATTACGTCTAAAGTCATAACGAGAAAAACTACCTAGCTTCCACACTCTCAAAAGAACATAAAAAGTCATCAAAATAGAAGAAGAGAGAAAAGAAAAATGAACTACCGCTTGTCTAGAATGACAACGCCTACCAGTCAGAACAAGTACACCTACTAGTCAGTAAAAGACAATGCCTCTGCAGCTACAATGCCAGGAAAGCACAGAGATGTCTAGGTCATGATTGATGCTAGACATAGAAGTAAACAAATGGTATAAAAGACTTCGTGAAATGCAAATTCGGCAAGAAAACATTTAATGCAAGATCAAATGCATTAAATGCAAGATCCACGAAGATCGGACAAAATAAACAAGAGAATTAGATGATAGCTACTCAAGTATCAAGATCAAGCTCAAGCTCAATCGCACAAAGAAGAACATTCAACAAACACCAGATGAGGTATACTACAAGTAGAGACATTGAAGCATCAGACGAAAAGCCAAAACAAGACTAAACCTAGAAAGAGATGGGTTAAATGTCAGATGAAACAAGGTGGTCAACTATGATAAAGGAACAACTAAGGCAAGGCATAGACAAATCAAGTTGAATAAGACAAAGTACAACATGTGCACCAAATGACTGAGTCCACATCAGATGAAAATGTGTTAAGAACAATCTACAAGACAAATCAAACAAAGCACGTGTTGAAGGTCAGAGGAAAGTCAATCATGCATCAGACTAAGAACGACACAGACTGAAAGATACTTTAAACAAAAACAAAGTTTGTCCACATACAATGTTAACCAGACCATAGAAGTCACTAAAGCATCAACGTCAAATACTTAGATGAAGAATAAGACGTGAGACGTATGAGATTAATAGACGTAGACGAAGACTACCATGCAAGCACTTTAAGAATCAAGTCTCAAAGGACAAACTCAGGCATCGTCTACGATCATACCAATGCTTTCAATGCAATAGCATAATCAAAGGAAGAGGAGGAGAAGAAGAAGAGCACGTAAAAGCAAAAGCATGCACGTGTCAGGAAAAGTACATTACTTTTTCATATAAAGACAAATGTTCTAAAGCTACGTGACCGAAAAAGGGCAAAAAGGTTACTAGATCTTAGCTAAAATTCAGACACAGGTGCTGACAAGGCAAAGAAGACTAAAACACAATGTCTATTGTAGGAAGCAACATTTAATGCAAAAACTCAAGCATTAAATGAGAAGATCAAACAAGCAATGAACGGCTATATCTGTTTCAACGGATACTTGCAACGGAAAATTCTACAAGCCTATATATATCACTACTTCAAACCTTAAAAGGCTGGTTGTTTGGCTCGAAATGGTTCAAGCAAGGAAAAGAGTGATATCCAACCCTTGACACAACGAAATCAGAGGTAGAGCGTATAGAGTCAAATGTGTAATATCTTTGTAAACTAAGGAGTTACAAACATGTGTATCTTAGGAACAAAACCTTAGTGAGTGTACCAATTTATGTATCCTCTTTGTGAGAGTAAACCAAATACTCAATCGTTGTAAGAACTAAGGTTGCATACCTTAGTGAGTGTAGAAACCTATGTATCCTCTCTGTGAGAGTAACCCATACACTCAAACCAAACCTGTCTTGTTGACAATTGTAAAGCCTGAAGATGCTAGGGAAATAATACTTGTAAAGCCTGGAGAGGCTTGTCAAAAAATACTCACTACGAGCCAGAAGTGGCTGAGTAAAGAATACTAGTACTGATGAGTGAAGTCAACGGGCTAGGAGGTGGTCGAGAATACTCATTTGGAGCCAGAAGTGGCTGATTAAAGAATACTAGCGCTGACGAGTGAAGCTGGCAGGCCAGGAGTGGTCAAGAATACTCATGAGCAGGAGTGGTCTGATACCCAGGTGGTTGAGATAATACTAATTGCGAGCCTGAAGAGGCTGAACAAAGAATATTCGCGGTCCCTTCACCCTCTCTCGTGGGCTCTCCACAGAACACATATGGTCGTTGGAGGCACCCCACTCGGCACTGTATCACCCAACCAAACCCCTCACACCACACGCTGCCAAACAACCCTTCCCTCCGCCGCCGCCCCGCGGCGTTACCACCGTACGAACCTCGATTTAGTGGAACACGAACAGCAGGAGGTGCTTGGTTGCGAATGGCATCCACCGCAAGCCTCGACGTCGCCGACGGCCCCGTGATGAGCCTCCGTGCCCTCCGCAAGAAGCTG